CCGCACGCCGCCCGCCGCCATCTTGCCCCGCCTCCTCCCAACAGCGACATCTACAAAATCCTGGCGGCAGAATCCCGAACTAACCCTCTGGTCATTGACCAACTCTTCAGCGACCCGCCTCCTCCTCTTCAGCGACCCGCCTTCCTCCACGCAGACCGCCGCCATCTTATCCCCAACAACCAATCACCTTCCACGCAGACCGCCGCCATCTTGTTCCTAACGGCCTAACACCTGCCCTCAGCCTACACAGGTAACCGCCCCCGTGCCGCCATGACACTTCTTGCACGCCAACACCCACGCGTCTTTTGCACAACGGCAATGACCACAAGAAGCCGCTGAACCCGGGCGACGAACTCGATGGACTGGCCGAATCTGCCCCACTTCCGGTGCTGAACCCGCCTAACCTATCTACTGTAACATCCAAACGGCTCGACATTAAGTCACGGTGCTTTCCTCGCTTGTTAGTAGATATAACATTTTTTGAAATACCATGTACTTTGATTTTTAAACACCCTGTAATTAAAAGTATGATGAGAACGTTTTTCAAAAAAGAGTAGGCGCCGCTCGAGAAAAGAATAAGAAAAGTTTCTTCCAAACTTCCAAAAAAGGCATCTGGTTAGTAAATATAAAATTTTTCATCCAAAGACTATGTAGGTAAGGCAGAAATGGTAAAAAAATAAATTAAGACATCTGCTTGCTGGTAAATAAAGTCTAAGCTAAAAGTGAAAAGAAACAAAACTGCCCTTAATTCTATAGAACATCTAGTATATGGATTTTTAAAAAAGCGACGTTTCTTCAAAAGATTTAAAGAAAAAATTTAAAAAATGAATAAGGAAAAATCTAGTCCACCTGTGTAAGTTTTACGAAACACCCTGTACATAAATTGCAAAAAACACCTGGTTGGTAAGGTATACGATTTTTCATAAAAATATTGCAGATTTCAGTACAAACTGTAGAAATGGAAAAAAATATACCTAAGGAAAGTTTCGTTCTGTTGGTAATTGGATCAGTTTTGTGGAACATCCAGTATAAAGATTCAAAAAGACATCCGGTTAATAAATATACAATTTTTCATTAAAAGATTTTAGTAAATAAAAACAAAGTTAAAAGTGAAAAGGAGAAAAATTGCCCGTTTCAGATGTGGATCAATTTTTTGGAACACCCAGTACGTATATGGATTTTCTAAAAAGCGGCTGGTCAGTAAATATACAATTTTTCTTTAAAAGGTTTCATGAAAAAATCAACAAAATGAATCAGAGAAAATCTGGTCCACCTGTGTCAGTTTTATGAAACATCCTGTACAGAAATTGCAAAAAACATTTGGTTAATAAGACACCGTGTTTAGAAAAATCTATTTGAAAATTTAGGTAGGTAGTGAAATGAGAAGAAAATCCTAGTCCGTCTGTCATTTTTATTAAACACTTAGTATATAAATTTGCAAAATGCCTCTGAGTTCTACAATATAGGATTTTTCATAAAAAAAAGTGAAAAAATAAGTAAAATCAAAGTTCACCTATGTCATTTTTATGAAACATTCGGTACATACCTTTGTAGAATGCATATATGATTACTACGATATCAGGTTTTTCATAAAAATATTTCAATCAATAAACTGAAATATATAGGAGCTTCTGGACCGTCCGAGTTTCAACGCAATTTTTTAGACGCCCTGTATATAGAAACCTATTTGAAATTTTATATTTTTTTGTTATAGAAAGGTTTAAAAAGATGAATCCATATATATACGGCAGTAAATAAAAAAAAAATCTTAGGTTACCTCGTCTGAGATTGAACCACTGATCTTACGAATACAACGGGGCGTTTTTACCGCTGCGCTATCGACTGCTTCACCCACAATCCGTCTGTACTGATATTTTAATTGTCATTCACAGCTGAAGTAATCAACAATTTTTGTAATGTTAAATTTGCATTTTTCTAACACAAAGTCGTCTCGCAAAAGATCCACAATGAAATAAAACAGATAAATAATTTATTTCTATAATTGGCAACTTTTGATGTTTGGGAAGTAAGTAATACTAATGCAGTGCAATGTATAGTAGGTAACTAACGAAGCAAATGTACTAATACAAAGGGTTTAGGTACTATGGCTTGGTTTAAAATTATGCAGTTTTAGAGAGCAAGTACTTACGTTAACTCGGGGGACAGGTATCGTAATCGTAGGCATGTCAAACGGTAGAGCTACGAAAATGTAAATAACAACCTAACCTAATAATAAGAAATACCTGTATATGTCGTGACATAGCAATGTATTAAGGTTAAAAAAAGGCCTAGTAAGGTAAAATAACGGTTCGCCGCGACCCTACAGACGTCTTTCGCGTTTGGCGTGAAATTATTTTGACATAATTAATCTGACGTTTCTAACGACATTCGAATTTTCTCCGGGTGGGCGTGTCTTAAAGCTTCAATCTTTACGGCCTGTGAAATGGTCGTCTGTCACCGAGCAGACCCCAAAAAGAAGGCAAAATTAAATATGAAAACGCGAAAATAACGTTGCAAAAATGCCCCCGAACGACTAAGGAGGGACGACTGAGTATCTGTGCCAAGTCGCACGCCGTTTCGAGGCTCGCGGAGAAGGAATTTTATAGGGCAAAATTCACATTTTTCGGCCTTCCTAGAGAGTGCATTTTAATGTATTTACGGCCGCATTTCGAATCCCGCATTTGATTTCGCGGAAAGTTCTACGGAAAAAAGCGTGAAATAGGCACCCGGTCGATAAATATGAGTATTTTCGCCACAGTTTTAAATAAAATATCGTAGAAAATAGGGGAAATAAAAAATAAAAAAGCCGTACCCGCGCACAATTCGAGGCGATCGGCGACCGTCAGATTTCAGCTGGAGGCCGTGTCGGACTATTGCGTTTCATACAAAAATTGGGCCGCGCCCCTCGCAGAGCCTGAAGAAAATTGAAAATTCACCGCTAAGACGGCAAAAAATCGCCATCAAAATACGACGTTCGGACGAAGGAAGGCCGGCGGAGGGCTTCGCCCCCCGCGGGTCGCCGCTGCGCGGCTCCCCCGAAAAGCCTTGGTGGCAATAAGTCGGCGCTTTTTCGGGGCGATCGTGCGACGCAGACAGAGCTATCAGATTTTAATATATATTGACTAGAAACGTAGGCAAGTCAGCTTCGCCGACTTGACGTTTCTCTCGGGCCTTCGGCCCTCGGCGGCGCTGCGCGCCGCATGAGCCCCGCTTCGCGGAGCACTCTCGCGCGAATGTTTTTTAAATCATCACACCATCATCCACATTACCATCATCTACACATCATCTACATCACCATCATCTACATCACCATCATCTACATCACCATCGTCTACATCACCATCATCTACATCACCATCATCTACATCACCATTATCTACATCACCATCATCTACAGCGTCATCATCTACATCACCATAATTTACAGCACCATCATCTACATCTATATCGCCATCATCTACATCATCTATGTCACCATCATCTACAGCACCATCATCTACATCACCATCATCTACATTACTATCATCCACATCGCCAACATCTACATCATCTACATCAACACCACCATCATTTATACCACTATAATCTACATCACCATCATCTACATCGCCATTATCTACATAGCCACCATTTACAGCACCATCATCTACATCATCTACATCTACATGGCCATGGTCTACATAGCCATCATCTACATCGCCAGCATCTACATCATCTACATCGCCATCATCTACATCACCATCACCTACATCGGCATCATCTTCATCACCATCATATACATCACCATCATTTACATCGCCACCATCCACATCATCATAATCTACATCATCGTCATCTACCTGACCATCATTTACATCGCCATTATCTACATTACCATCATCTACTACAGCAACATCTATATCACCATCATGTACATCACCATCATCTACACCACCATCATCTACATCGCCATCATCTACATTGCCATTATCTACGCCACCATCATTTACGTCACCATCATCTACATTGCCATCATCTACGCCACCAATATCTACGTCACCATCATCTACATCATCTACATCTACATGGCCATGGTCTACATAGCCATCATCTACAAGCATCTACATCATCTACATCGCCATCATCTACATCACCATCACCTACATCGGCATCATCTTCATCACCATCATATACATCACCATCATTTACATCGCCACCATCCACATCATCATAATCTACATCATCGTCATCTACCTGACCATCATTTACATCGCCATTATCTACATTACCATCATCTACTACAGCAACATCTATATCACCATCATGTACATCACCATCATCTACACCACCATCATCTACATCGCCATCATCTACATTGCCATTATCTACGCCACCATCATTTACGTCACCATCATCTACATTGCCATCATCTACGCCACCAATATCTACGTCACCATCATCTACATCGCCATCATTTACATTACCATTATTTACATCATCTACATCACCACCATCTACATTATTATGACCATTCAAATGTGGGTCGATTTTGTGAAACATTCTGTGTAGCAAGTTTTAAAATGGCATCTGGTTTGTAAATAAAAAGCTTTTCATGAATAGGCCTCACTAAATAAAGTAGAAGAAATGAATATGATAAGGAATAATCCACGGGGTCTGTCCTGGATCAATTTTATAGAACATGCAGTATTTTGTAAAGCTTCAAAAAACATATTATAAAATAGTTACCTCAAAAAATAAAGTAGAACTAGAAAGGCAGGCAAACTCTGCTGACGCTAAGTTTGAAGTTTCTCTCGGGCCTTCGGCCCTCGAGCCGCGCTGCGCGCGGCCCGAGCACCACTCCGCGGTGCTTTCCTCGCTGGTTAGTGGATATAACATTTTTTGAAACAGCCTGTACTTTGATTTTTAGACACCCTGTATATAAAAGCTTGATGAAACCGTTTTTCAAAAGAGGCCCCGCTCGAGAAAAGAATAAGAAAAGTTTCTTCCAAACTTCCAAAAAAGGCATCTGGTTAAATGAAAAAGGAAAAACCTAGTCCACCTGTATTAGTTTTATGAAACACCCAGTATATAAATTGCAAAAAACAGAAATTCTGTCAATTTTGTGGAACGCCCAGTAGGTACATATATGGATTTTCTAAAAAGCGTCTAGTCAAGAAATATACAACCATGAAAAAATTAACAAAATGAATAAGGGAAAATCTGGTACACCTGTGTCAGTTTTATGGAACATCCTGTACATAAATTGCAAGAAACACCTGGTTAGTAGGGTATAAGGTTTTTCATAAAAATATTGCCGGCTTCACTACAAAATATAGAAAAGGAAAAACATTCTATTCGTAATTTTAATCTGCATCAGTATCGTGAAACACTCAGTATAAAAATTCAAAAAGACAACTGGTTAATAAGTATACAATTTTTCATTAAAAGACTAGTAAATAAAGACAAAGTTAGAAGTGAAAAGGAAAAAAATTGCCCTTAATCCAGATGTGGGTCGATTTTGCAGAATACCCAGTACATATATGGATTTTCTAAAAAGCGTCTGGTCAGTAAATATACAACTTCAAAAGATTTCATGAAAAAATTAACAAAATGAATCAGAGAAAATCTGGTCCACCTGGGTCAGTTTTATGAAACATCCTGTACATAAATTGCAAAAAACATTTTTTTAGTAAGACACCGTGTGTAGAAATATCTATTTGAAAATTTAGATAGGTAGTGAAATGAGAAAAAAATCCTAGTCCGCCTGTGTCATTTTTATGAAAGACTTAGTATATAAATTTGCAAAATGCCTCTGAGTTCTACAATATAAGATTTTTCATAAAAATATTGCCATCAATAAATTTCTGAAAGTTCACCTGTGTTATTTTTATTAAACATTCGGTACATACCTTTGCAAAAAGCATGTGAATAGTACGATATAAGATTTTTCATAAAAATACTGCAATCAATAAACTGAAATATAAGTAGATATGCTATGGGCGTATCACGCCAAAATCCCATGTATTTTCTTATGAAGGTTCATATTAGCAGTTTTTGACGAATTTT